CCCCAAAACCCCAAAACCCCAAAACCCCAAAACCCCAAAATTAATTTCCATATTGAAGTATTTTTAAGTTTAATCCCTTTGTATAACTCAATACAGGTAAAGAATGTTCATGTCCTTGGGTGAGAGAGGTCTCATATCTATGAATGATAGAATTGTTAAAAGTTTTAGATGATTGGAGGGAATTTTGTGTCAGTACTGCTTCTCATCTTCACAATATGTCAGTTCTGACATATAATTTTTATTGTCCAAAAGACTAGGAAATGAATCGCAGTTAGCTCCTGTGTACAGTTTAATGCCTTCATACAATTTTTTGTCTTATTTCATCCTTTGGGTAATAATTAAGAGTTACGGTGATACTTACAAAAGCAAATTTCTTCTATTCTCATCATGTAGATTCAAAATTAATAATGAAGTCTGAAGAACTAGAAAAGATTTTTAATAAAAGAATAAAAGATAAGGGCTGGTCAAAACTATTTAAGGACATTCAGCATGAAGATTCTGAAGAAATAAAGGGCACTTCCTTATCAAGCTCCAGAAAATCGGAAGAGTTTGCTATATATGGCCGAGAAAAAGATAGTCAGAAAATAGAAATTTCAGGCTCAGAGATGTTGACAGAAAAATTGGATTCATTGATTCAGATTTATTGTGAGGTTTCAGGCATAAGCCAAGAAGAGATAATTCTAGAAATAGCTGAAAGTCTCAGTAATAAGCAGAAACTAAAACAAAAGCTGATGGAAGCTTTTAAGGATAGCTTTAAGAACCTCAAACTCAATTGGAATGACAAAAATGCAATCCAAAAGTCAGTGGGATCTTGCATTAAGAATATTCCGATGTTGCTGATTAACATGAAAGGATTCTATCCATCCAGAAACAAAGGATCTAGGAATTGAGACTATCATTTAGCTGCTTACTTGAGAACTTTTATGATTGGCTTTGTCCCAATATTTTACTCAGAAACTTGGTCTTATAAACAAGATCAATATGAGGAAATTTTCTGAGAGAACAACGACACAATGATGGACTTGTTCCTTGACTTTATTCTGATAAAATATCCCTCAAAGAGGGTAAAGTATGCATATTCTAAAATACTGTTAAGATCTCAAAAGTTGGATGGCATGCTATTAAAATTAAAGGGTAGAAAAGCCACTCAGAATCGTATAGAGTTTCAAGCTTTCTGTGCTCAGAATGCTTCTCTAAATTTGATAGCTCATAAAACTCAGCTTGTCTTGAAAACTCTGAAGCTAAAAGAAAGCCAGCTCGAAATTATCGAGGAGCTATTTTCAAATAGTAAAACTATGTGAGCTGATTTCAAGGACTCCCTTTGTTTTGAGTTGGCTAAGAATTAAGAGTTGAAGACTCAATACAAATGTTCCAATATGGCCATAGCCAAAAGTAAGTTCTATTTTTACAGCTTCAGCCTTTTTATTAAACTTTGTATTTAGAGCACCAAATTGATATGCAGCAATTAAAAGCTATCAAAGTTTATTTTCCATTCCTAGAATTCTTTGAACAGACTACTTGCCAGCCAAAATGTATAACATTCATGGTAAAGTTAGGGAGCATAACTATTTCGTCAAATTTCAATATTTGGCGAACCCCTTGGGGTTTTGGGGTTTTGGGGTTTTGGGGTTTTGGGG